TTCACCAATAAATATAAGGCTGAAAAAAATTAAAATAGTATAGAGTTTTAGAAAAGCATTAATCTAACAGTTTAAAAAAATAAAAAAAAGTTAATACTTTTCGAGATAATTAGTGTACCCACTTAAATGGATCACCCTGTATATATTGGCATCGATCCGACTAACGAATTCAATACCATGGTTCATATTATAACTTCTTCGCGGTACGTCAAAATTACACCATTTACACCGGATTTTTTAAGAAGAATATCCTCGTTGATGGGGAATATTTTGTCGTTTATATTGGATCCACCAAAATATAAGAAGCGATTATTTCTGGAAACTGATCAATTTGAATTAACAAGATGTATGGTGTATATGGGCGAAATCGTATTGGTAATAGAGTGTAAAAATCAAATTGGGTGTCGTATACTATTAAATCGCGCGGACCTAATACAGTTGCAATATTTGGAGTGGTGTATTTATGAATCAGTTTCACGAAAATCAAATGTAACAAAACCAGCTGTCTTAAAACAATTTGATATGTTTGTAAACTATATCGACAAAGAATTCACCATAATGGAATCCCCGACTAGACTGAACGAAGAAATGATCACATTTATTAAAAATGTACGCAACGAAAGTGTAATTGCAAAAAATGTTTGCAACAAGCCAATTAGCTAAACAATGCGCACAACGATTGAATGGTGAAATGTCACACGAGGTAATTTAACCTTTAAATTATATCACTTGTAAAATATTGAATGTATTTTATTATTTTATAGTTGTTCACTGAATCTGAGGTTAGACTCATTTCGCCAACGAGATTGTGTATATCTAACGAGATTATAAAATATTAAAATAACATACGAAGCAGAAAGTCAATCAAACCGAGTCAGCAAAATTGCCACGACTATTTAAGGCGACGTCTGCGATGGGAGCGAGGCTGTTGTTTTGTTTGTTTCGCTTATTGTAGTAGCCAACGAGCTGCAGTATTTTTACATTTCTTTTTATTATTTGTTTTTGATATATTTTATTATATTTAATTCTTTTTTTTTTAAAAACCAAGTGTCACTGTTTTTAGAATATTTTATCTTACGAGTTGATACAGAGACGTTGTGGTGAATAACACTTTTAAAAACAGGTAGTAAGACACTGTGGTACTTACTTTCTCGTCCAGCACTCGTTATCGTGGTCAGTCGAGAAAGAGTAAGACTTTGTCTAGGTAAAAGATACCTCACCCTCGAACATCCAGTACTCGTTATCGTGGTCAGTTGTTCGGGAGTAAAATAACCTTAGAGTTGTATAGTGTAAATCCTGCTGGACTTTTATTTAATTACCCTATTGCGCAGTACTCGTTATCGTGGGTAACCAAAAGGAGAACTTAAATTAAACTCATACAGCAGGTGTCGATAATTTACTCGTTCGACGGTTAGAGAATCGGAACCGAAACATATCTGTTATATACGTCAAGCCTTTGCGTGGCGTATACGACAAGATATTCAAGTATGTTTCCAATGCACGAAGACCTTTCACAAGCAAGGGTAAATTATAATTTATAAATTTAAAATATACAATTAATAATTATAATAATTATTCAGGCAGCTGACGAGGAACGTGGTATCGATGAATTTTTAACGCAAATCAACCCTACACAGGCGACATGGGCACCAATTCGGAAAACAAAACCAGTGGTAAGACTCACATTTAATTTTTAAAATAAATATATATTAACAAAATATTATTTGTTTAGGCTATTGATGATCCTATCAGTCGACCAACGACGAACATAGAGTGTCAAGAGTGACAAGAGTGTCTTGCCGCATCGACAATTTTGCACAAGACCCGTACGGATGCATTCAATCATATATAGAACCTTCACCAACGAGCCCTGCAGTTGATGAGAACTACGGTCAAACGTCTTTCAACCACTCGCCATCTATTCTCGATTTCACATGCGGCAAGCCCACGAAAAAATTAAATAAGCGGAGCGCAAAACGGAAACTGTTTGAATAATATTTTTTAATAGTTTTATGTGTGAAATAAAAACAAGCGTGATATTTAAAATCAATTTTTTTTTTATTTATCATATTTACAAGGTCTAAAATAGAGTTATATATAAGGTTTACAATTTTCTAACATCTCCGCTAAAGGGATTGTAAGTTATAATCTGATCATGTAGTATTAAACAATAAGCTGCAGTTTTTTCTGGAATAATTGTATCTGTTTCAAATTCAATTCGTAGGTCCATGATTTAACGTTATCATTCTGATACGACAAATCAACAACGACGATTGGCACATAGTTTTGAAAAATATGTTTTGGTTTTAATGGTTCACAATAATCTCTTTCGTAATTCGATTTTTGAAAGTCTGTATAAGCTTTGTAGAGTATGCTGGTGGTATTATTTTTAAAATCAGCTCGAAAGTCTTCATATGGATACACCTCAGAGTTTAAGTATACCTTAAGATTTTTTAGTTGACAGTGATCGAACCGCCCAGCGTCGGTTTCGATATTGTTTTTTCTACTTGTTTGTAATCCAAACAAAAGAAATCTTGGTTTTTCCAGTAAGCTGCTAGACTTAACAGTCCACGAATGAGAAGAGTTTCTAGGGAGCGCGGGATACTCACATAGATCCCAGGTTCTGAACGAGCACGATAAAGTTTTACGAGAATCTAATACTTTCAATAATTTTAATTTTTCTTTATCACAGACTTTGATAATAGGCATCTTCCAAGTAACCTTAGTCAGTTTAATTTTAATTTTTTATTTATATCAACGGAGTGGGTTGCACACAGTGCCGGCCCGATAGTTTTCGGGGCCCGGTGCAGAATTTCGCGGGGCACCATATGGCCAATGGCTGTATATGTTAATTTATTAATTATTATACAATATACATCTTTATTTTATTTTTTAGGGACTAACTTTAATCTTATATAATTTTGTAATCTTAAAGCTCTTTTAATTATGTTAGAAACCTAAATTTGTTCGTATAAACAATGTACAAACAATATTTTATTAATAAATATTTTTATTATATTGTAGTAAGCGAGATACTAAGCAACATTTAAAGTCCCGACAGGTAACATATTTAACATAATATACCGTAGATAGGCAATGGTCTGCAGATATATCAAATAGAAACTAATTAACCTTTTGGTTGTACTTAATCAAAGAAACCATGGGGAGCATAACGCCAAAAACGAACGCGTAAACAAATTTGCGATTAATAAATGTAAGGCTCAAGGAGAAACGATATTCAAAATAATACCACAATAGATTAGCACGACTTTGCAATCATGTAGAATAGGCGGAGGTGATATATTCGATAGCGTTATATGAGATAAATTCAATATAAAAAATAGTATGATTTATTATAATGAAATTGACAGTCACAAAATATCTGTCAGTACATTATAGTAATACGCAGAATAGATTAGGAATTTCGCAAGTGCGTGGGCTAGGTCGACAGCCACAAGGACCACATCCGTTAGAACCGAGATACAGTATCACTAGGCAAGGGGAGCGGGGACCGGACTATAAGAGGGACCCCAAAACAGCCTGTATTCAGACGTGTCTACTCATCGCTGCTACAAGCACCTTCACGCAACTTTGTAATCGTAACAACTTACGATTGTCATTTGGACTCAGCGCTTTTGTGATTGTTGGAACTCTAATAAACAACAGTATGATTTAGCATTTGTGTTATAATTATTCAACCGATACCTCACCATCACAGCAAACGGTCTAGCTACCTGCAAACGTTAATATACTAGTAGCTATCAGAGCAACCAGTATATTACAATATTGAACATAAATTATAATAATAATGAAATGAGTATAATTACGTTTACTAAAAATAAAAAAAATTTAACAAAATATAATATTATTTAAATTTTTTTTTGATGCAAACTGATCAATTGTATCATTGTAGCTCAAAGAATCGGCAATACTATGTCCGATGCTGATAAGGGCCAGGTCCGATAACTTATGCTGTGATAGATTGCTTCTTAAATAATTTTTTATCAGCTTCAATTTAGAGAATGAACGTTTAGCACCAGCTGATGTAACTGGTATGGTGAGCATTATTCTAATTGCCACTTCTATATTTGGAAATGAACTAGAAACGTTTTTTAAAAAAAGATAATGCCTGCAGAGGTGTTGCGTTTTCGTCTACTATACTTCGAAAAATAAGAAGTTCCATGTATAAATCTGCACCATTTATATCTCTAGAATTGCCTTCACTCAATACGTTTTGAAAATCGTTACAAAAATTTTTAATAAAATAATAGTTTTGATGTTTAAGTTTTCCAATTCTGTACAAATATCCAAAATTGGAGTTAAATGTGCTCTGGTACTCAAATCGTACTCTCAATGCTTCCGTAGCAAGGTCAATTAGAATCAAAAAGTAATCACGACGAAATTCTTCTTCTGAACTAATTATATATTCATCATTACTTTCGTAGTTAAACGTTTTTTTTTTCTTTCTTGGTCTTTTTTCCTTGAAGTTAGCAGTTCCACCAATAGATTCAACGATTTCTATTCCAACCAATTTGGCGTTTTCAAATCCATTTGTACGATATTTTTCTAGAAAAGTGATGTATGTTGCCTAAGTACCCTGAAGTTACGTAATAAATATAACACCGTAATATTACCTCGTATAATATTATATTTATTAAAGGCGCCACATATATTGTATAAAACAATAAAACACTAATATGCGCTACGCACACGACATAAAATTTAAAAAATAAGATAAATATATAATAAAGAGCTGGACGCTCACACAATTTTTGTGACTGCAATAATATAATTATTACTGTCTTTACGATACGCGACGAGCAACGGTCGTCATTCGCGACAACTTAATTAAAACTGTAGATATACTATATACATGAACATTATGCAACGGATACGTTAATGATGTTACATAATCAAAATATTATAATTACAATAAGATATAATATAAATAATAATAATCATACTAATGATACCAATTCCCCACAATACCCACTATAGTATTACCGAAACCTGATCGCTCGTCCTGACCCGGTGTGGGTGGAGGTAGCCTGTGCCTCGGTCGACGTATTTGGTGTCGGAACGTGTTGATGTTGTTTGATTGGGACCTTCTCTCTCTCTTTACTGATCAACTCATCCTCTGGAACTGTCTCGAAACACGGTTTCAATCTATCGATTGTAATGTTGACTGTTTTTCCTTTTATGCGTATAACATAATTTTTTTCAGCTCTCGATATTACTTCGTACGGCCTGTCGTAAGGCCTTTCGAGTGGAGACTTCACTCGGTCAACGAGTACAAAAACTTTTTTACACAATGGAAGCGATTTGTGTACGAAAACTCTCTTTTTTGTTTGGTTGGACGTGGGGACGGGCCGTAAGCAATTCATCACATTTTTTAGCTGCGTGATGAACGACATCGGGTCAGTTTGAATTTTTGATGTCGAAAAAAATTCATTTAGTAGTCTTATTGTAGTACCAAAAACCATCTCGGCGGATAACTGTATGTCCTCCTTCATTGAAGCCCTTATTCCTAATAATATCGACGGAATTACCTCCGTCCAACGTTCGGTGTTGTAACACTTGATTGCCGCCTTCAAAACCCGGTGGAACCGTTCACCGCGGGGTGATAGGCCGTTGTACGTATTCGTTTGAACCCAAGTATTACCGATGTAGCTCGAAAAAGAGTTGACTCGAACTGACGTCCTTGATCCGTTGTTATAGTCTCCGGAACCCCGTATCTGGCGATCCAGCCCTCGTACAACGCTTGTGCTACCGATTCTGCCGTAATGTCCTTTAAGAAAAACACTTCCAGCCAACGTGAAAAACGATCAACCACGGTCAGACAATACGTAAACCCACGTGACGATGGTAACGGTCCGACCAAATCAATGTGTATGTGTAAGAAACGTTCACTCAACGCGTCGAACCTCCCTATGGGGCTAGACACATGGCGTCCAATCTTTGACTTCTGACACGATACACACGAACGTGCCCAAATGCTGCAATCTCTATTAATAGATGGCCAAACAAATCTTTTTTTTATTAATTTGATTTTCGCTCGTACTCCAGGATGCGACAAATTGTGTAACGAATCAAAAACTTTTCGGTGAAATGCTTTTACTAAAAACGGTCTCGCTGTACCCATCGAAACATCGCAATAAACTTTTACATCGGTCGTCGACATACTCACTAGTTCTATCTTCAATCTAGAATTTGTGTTTTGTCGAAACACTAATAGCTCTTCATCGTTTGCTTGTAATCCAGACAGTTCATTATAGTTAATTGCCGGTGGCGCATGTATCGACGCCACTCGTGATAACGCGTCCGCGACGGTGTTACCTGAACCCATTACGTATTTAATATCGGTCTTAAATTGGCTTATGTAATCCAGTTGCCGGGTCCGTCGCGGCGGCAGCTTATCTGTGCTTTCTATCTGAACCCATTACGTATTTAATATCGGTCTTAAATTGGCTTATGTAATCCAGTTGCCGGGTCCGTCGCGGCGGTAGCTTATCTGTTCTTTGCGTAAACGCGAATATTAATGGTTTATGGCCCTTTAATATTATAAATACACGACCTTCTAAAAAATATCGAAAATGTTTAATTGATTCATAAATCGCTAACAACTCACGATCGTATGTACTGTAACGTTTTTGTGCACCTCCCAATTTTCTCGAAAAAAATGCAAGTGGTTGACAAATCTCATTTTTCTGTTGCTCAATGACTGCACCAATTGCCGTATCTGACGCGTCTGTACGAAGTTGAATCGGGGTAAAATAATGTCGTGACATTAATTAAATCAGCTTTTGTATTTTGGAACGCTACGCCCATTACAAACTGCTTCCTCCGTCCAGTTAATCGGCGTCTTATCGTTCTTTTTTCCGTTCCTCATATACTCGTTTAACACTGCTTGTGTGTCGGCTGCTTTTGGTATGCAGCTGCGATAAAAATTGCACATCGCCAGAAAACGCCTGAGCTCCTGCACCGTTTTAGGTCGTGGAAATTCATCGATCGCCTTAATTTTGTCCGGATTTGGCTTCAGTCCTGTGTCTGAAACAATATGTCCCAAAAATAGTATTTCTTTTTGACCGAACACACATTTATTCGGATTAATCACGACTCCACTGTCATCAAGAGTTTTAAATAATATTTCGAGATGCTTCATATGTTCCTCTTCCGTAGCCGATGAAATTAATATATCATCCAAATATGCTTCACAGAATTCCAGGTCTCTAATTACGCCGTGAATAAACCGTTGAAATGTCTGTGCAGCGTTTTTTAACCCGAACGGCATAAACATAAACTCGTACAGACCGAAAGGCGTAGTGATTGCCGTCGACAGGTACGACAGGTACCGGCTCGACCGGTATTTGATTATACGCTTTCGTCAGATCTGTTGAAATATACAATTAATATGTAGTATATGTAGTCAGCTTTGACACGTGTGTACAATATAGTAACTAGTTATGTACGAGCATAAGACTCACTCTCTTCACGGATGTAACATGACCTCGGTCGTGCATATATATAGGGCCTTTGATGTATGTAATATTTACTTGCACAGGCGTCGTTGTACAGAGCGTATACGATGTGTGTGTACTGTCACAGTTTAATTGTCCAGTTGTACGTTATTATATATTATACTTATACATAATCATATTGTCGTGTTATTACTTATTATATTAATGCTAACATCATTAGTCCGTCAAGCTTCACTTTCAACAGGTTATGGGCCCAGTCAATAACCAAGACAAACAGTCTAGTGGATTCGTGATCGAAGTATTTTTATATTTGTATTAACGCAGAAAACTACAACCAGTCGGAGATATCCTGGATTTCGGAAAACGGCGGAACAGTGTACATAGGTAAAGTTTTGTTATAAATTGTTATACAGGAAAGTATACGGGAATCCATCGGTCATGGAAGACACGGTGAAGATAACAAAATTATGTGCGGAAAACTGGTCGTTATGGAAGTTCCAGATGAAGGTCATTCTAAATGCCTTGGAAGTAGGTGAGATAGTTTCAGGTGAATGGACGAAACCAAGTCTACCTATAAAAAAGTCGGCAACAGAGACCGACGAGGAAGCCAAAGCATTTTGGCAAAGGCATACAAACGCTTGGCAAAAAGCGGACGGTAAATGTCAGAAAATAATAGTTACCTCAGTGGACGATGGTCCATTACAATATTTGATTAACTGTGAGACTGCATTGGAAATGTGGGAGAAACTGCTGAGTATTTACGAGCAGAAGTCTGAGGCAAGTTTACATTTGCTTCAACAACAATTTTTCAGTTATTCAAAGGAGTCGACAGATGACATGTCGACGCATATTTCTAAATTGGTCAATTTAGGAAGGAAACTGAGAGTAGCGGGTGAACCAGTTACGGATAACATGGTTATGACAAAAATACTAATGACATTACCAAAAGAATATAATCATTTTTACAGTGCTTGGGATTCAGTCCCAACGAGAAATAAAAATATAAATAATTTGACTAGTCGATTGTTGATTGAAGAATCACGGGTTATCCAGATCAAAGGTGAAGTTGGTGAACAAGAGAAATCGAGTGCATTTCCGGCCAAATTTCAAAAAGATCTGATGGAAGAAACGGCAGTCGTAATTATGGAAAAGGTAAAAATCAATTTACTAGTAAAAGTAATATTAAGTGTTATTACTGTGGTAAACTAGGTCATTATAAAAGAGACTGTAGAAATTGTCTACATAGTGTACACGGTGGTAAAACCGGTACTATAGGTGCGAACTTGAACGCATTCGTAAGCGAGTCAAGCATAAATAATATTGCAACAGATGCGTGGGTACTAGACTCGGGCGCGTCAGATCATATGAACGCAGATCGAGAGTGGTTTTCAAGTTATGAACCACTGGACAACACGCAACAAATCACGATAGGTGATGGGACGAATCTGTATGCAGCAGGTAGAGGTAATATTAATATATTATCATACGTAAACGGTAATTGGAATAAAAATTACATGGCAAACGTGTTGCACGTGCCGAGACTAAAATTTAATTTATTTTCGTGCGGTGCCGCGATGGATAAAGGATTAGTAATGACGTCAGATAGTAAGACGTGTATGTTAACTAAACAGGGGAAACCCGTATGCTCAGGTAAGAGATGCGGAAGGTTGTTTGAGTTAAACATCAAGGTCGAAGTACCGACAAACGGGTACGCGACTGTAGCCGTCGAAAACAGGTTGTCTGTTTGGCACGAGCGCATGGCACATCAGAATTTACAGTACGTAAAAAGTTGTTTGGCGAAACACGAAATAGTATGTATGGCCAAGGACGACGAATTCATGTGCAGCAGTTGTATAATAGGTAAACAAAGTCGTTAATCATTTAGTAAAAGTAATACGGAGTATCACAATGTCGGTGATTTAATTCATGCAGACCTGTGTGGACCAATGGAGGTAAGCTCTATAGGCGGTTCAAAATACTTTTTGTTATTCAAAGACGACTACTCGCATTATAGAACGGTATATTTTATTAAAAATAAATATGATGTTAAAAATATTTTTGAGACGTTCATAAAAAGTGTTGAAACAGAAACAGGTTCTAAGGTCAAAATATTAAGAACGGATAATGGATTAGAATTCGTAAATAAAGAAATTACGGGTATTTTACAAAAACACGGGATTCGACATCAGTTAACAGTTCCCTACACACCACAGCAAAATGGAAAAGTGGAACGGGAAAATCGTACAATAGTAGAGTCAGCGAGGACAATGATTTGTGCGATAAATTTGGATGTATCACTTTGGGCGGAGGCGGTAAACACGGCTGTTTACACGCTTAATCGAACAGGAACCAGTTCAGTTAAAAATAACTCACCATACGAGTTATATTATAAGGTAATGCCAGACATTAAACACTTACGAGTTTTTGGTACTGTCGTATATACACACATACCAAAGCAAAAACGTAAAACGTGGGACCCTAAAAGTGAAAAAGGAATATTTGTTGGCTATTCGCATAATACCAAAGGTTATCGTGTGTATTATTCGAAAACAAATAGAATTTCAATGTCTAGAGATATTATATTCGAAAACGAAGGTAATACATTGGAAAATATAATTGCAGACAAATTAGAATTCACAGATACTCAGACTCAAATCGAGGACGATCCGGTCAAGGTCGAATTGGCGACGGTCGACAACAGGAGTGGCATGGTGCTACGTGATCGGAATACATTAAAAGCGCCGATCAGGTATAATGTGTCATCGTTCGTCGCCAATCTCGTTGAACCACTAAATCGTGATGAAACGATAGCTGGCCCACAGAAAAACGAGTGGGAGCACGCTATGAATGATGAAATTAAATCACTACACAAAAACAACACTTGGTCACTAGTTAATTTGCCTCAGGGCAAGGTTGCGTTACGTAACGCATGGGTTTTCAAGACCAAATATAAAAGTGACGGTATTATCGATAAGTTTAAGGCCAGATTGGTCATTAAAGGTTGTTCACAGAAATATGGTATAGATTACCATGAA